ATACCGGTGCAGAATTTAAAAAAAAAAAAACGCAAAGGGTCTCGTCAAAAAAAAAACCGTTACAAGACCGAGCCCTGCCACAGACTGTTTAAAAAGAGTGTCGGTACACTGAAATGAAAATATAAAGATTGTAAATAAACTCAGATTTTAAAACACGAAAACAAAATATAACTTTGGTTACCTGTAGACGTGTCCGTCGCGTCAGGTGAATTGACATGACGCCTGATGTTCCTGCCATCAGCCCCCTCCATGGGCGGTTCTCCCCGTAACCCAGCCCGCTGCAGCCGTGCCTCGCGAATTGGCGGTGGCAGATTTACGGTCTCGGCATCTTCGTACGTGTCTGAAGACGTTTCTAGCCCTTTCTGCCGCTTGTGATAAGCGGCGTTGCCATGGCAGGCACGCCCGTGCAGACCACTCTGGTGGACAGAAGGTGCTTGGGTTTGTGGTCCGCTGGTTTGACTGTAGCCGGGCCCCACAACAGGGGACCGGACCGGCTGTGCTTGCTCGTACATTTGCACTGCACTGACAAACAACGTTTGAGCAGTCTTTACCTATCAGAGATGCATGAATATCAGAGATGTTCGCGATTAGTCTGAAGAAGGGATCTTGTATTTGCCCTTATATGGAAAGATCTGCGCATGACGCAGTGCGTATGGCATTTTGTTTTTCAGCAAGCGGCAGACAAATTTACAGGACGAAGATGTCAACCTACGCAAGGAGGCAGACACATCCAAGTTAACTTTTCTTGGGCACGTGGCAGGTCTTACTTTCGTTTCACCGTGTTTTCAAACATTGTAGCTCATTTCTGCCGCATCCGTTCGCAGAAAGTACAAAATGAGTCATATTATACCCAGAACCGCACTTTATCCATTACTATGCTCGGGTCCGCTTCTGGATAGTCCACGCGTATACATGTATATCTATGCAGGCAAATAAACGTTCTTGGATACGCGGAGACTACCATATAGCCAGCCCTCCCCCATTTAAAATAAGCGTTTCGTATTACAAACTTCGTAACTGTAAAGACTACATTAACAATATCCCATCTATCAATCAGAAAATATCTTTCATCGACTTATTTTTTATTTTGTTATTTTGAAAACATCAAGGAAGTTCTAACAGCTACATTACATATAGCTGATTTCAAAGGAGGTCCAAAACATAAATACATGTATGATGGTATGCAAAATGCTACATAGGTAAAAGAACATAGATTGTTAGGTGTTTACAGGCATTAATGAAACTAAAAACGTAATAATGACAAATAAATATGACTAAAGCACGGCTGTATTGTTGTTAATAAATGTTGTTCTTTCATATGCATCACAGTAAATACTATGTTAAGTTTATGCAAATACATGGGCGATGGCTAATTGCAAATATAAACAACATGTACTAAAAAAGAACTACAATAAAATGAGCAACACTATGCACTTTATGCTACTTTCTACAACACACGTGGTAATAATTTTGCTAATAAGAAGTACAAACATATGTACTGAAAGTCATGATGCTTTAAGCAAGGGGCACAACCCGCCGTACGTATTTTTTGTCCGTACGTTTTTTTTTGGGGGGGGGGTCACGTCCGCCATGTTTTTTTTTTTTCTGAAAACGTGGGGAAGGAGTTGCATAAGCAAGAAGAGGGATTACGTCAACGCACATCACTCACAGGACCGTGAGCGGCTGCGTGCACAAGTGGTAAGTGAGTTGTACGTGCTTACAACGTAAGATCTCCTTGCGATTGCCACGTGCTGCGTACGTAGGTTCCCTTATTCACTCGCATGTTGTAAGTGCGTGCACGTTGGCTCTACAGGGCACACGCGTCGCCCGGGCTGGCTAGTAAGGGAGTGAATCCGCAGCCCGAACGCAGAGGAAGTTTTGCATGCACTTAGATTGCTACGGCGGGTCTGCGTGCTTTCAAATCCGTGGGATTTCTTACGGAGGCGGTACTCATCACTTACGCAAAATTACCCACTTATGCTTCGGTCCCAATTGAAAAAAGGGGCCCTGCCGGGTAGTCCCTGGGCTGTTTTTTTTTGCACTTTCGGGCGTGACCCGTACGTGGCCCCGCTAGACACCCTGCGGTTACCGGGCTATTTTTGGGCCCGGTGGGGACCCGAGAAGAATTTAATTCTGACTTAAATTCTACCCGGGTCCCGCTGACATAAAGATTCGCACCGAAGCTTTACACACTTACCCCCGTTTCGCAGTTGCACGTACGGCGGGTTGTGCCCATCACTTTACATCGTTCGAGGTGAGTCATACCAACAGTGTAACGTTAGGCTGCTGTTGTAATTCACAGGTCTAGACACCATTGCCCAACACACGTCCTTACTGATCCTGCTTCATTACCTTTGGTTTTATCAACCCTTGTTTAACCTGGTGGCAAACATATATTTACCTGTTCCATCTGCGTGAGTGCACACATACCAACCTGGAGTACCAGCCGTGGTGGAAGGTTGATCTTGGAGACACCTACGTCATCAGTCACGTGACAGTCATCAACCGTGGAGACTGCTGTGGTAGGAAGCAATCTTATTGGCTGCTACATTAACCCTCAACAGTACACCTTCCCGGACTGATTAATCTGTACACCTGGGGTCCGCGCGGACCCCAGAACAGTTTTTGCTAATTTTTAGAAATTATCAACATGCTACCAGCTCAATTGTTTTGCAAACTGATGTGGGAACCTCTGTGTCCACATTACACACAAAATCATACATTTTGAACTTTTT